TGTTCCTGTTAAAAACGAAATCTGTTTTTGTTTTCCCTCATGTTTATAGAATAAAATTGGCTCCCTCTGCTGGCAAACATAATATTAGGTCATCTAAGCATGTGAAGCTTTTGAAACAATGGCACTCAAATTGCTTTCGTAACTACAAACATGTCACTGTGCAATGTTGGAAGAGATTTATAGTACACAGTGTATGTATATAGGTAGATAAGCACATAATTCTTTACATTTTTATCTTATTAAGCTATAACCCTTATATTTAAACAAATTTCTGGTTTTGGCTCTGTTGTAATTCAAGCAGAAAATCAAGACTGTATTCTTTAGAGTTATTTAGAGAAATCACTTTCAAATGCAGAATTCTAAGATTGCATATAGAACAGTTAAGCATATTATTTTGCATACTCCATGAGTAACATGAAATATTTTAGAAATACTTGATAAAATTTGAAAAACTGTCTTAGAGGAATGTTTCACATTTGTGATTTGTCTTTTACATATCATATGTGAAGTCTAAGAAATACACCTCCCTTATTCACCTCTTGCTGTTCTATTTACTTTATTTCACCATGTATAGGCATTTGCATAATCACTTTTCAAGTTTCATGGATAGTTTGAAGTTTTTATTTACATTGACAAGGCAGAACCAGAAGCTACATATTACTCCACATTGCTTTTCATTACTAATGGAAAGTAAGAAAGAACTGAAAGTAACTTTTTGGTACACCAAAAAGTGTGGTAACTACCAATACTGATGTAAGAAAGTACAACCTTCCATGTATGCACTCATGTTTTTAAACTAGTAAAAGGGAGAAAGAATGGTATATTGGTCTGAGTAGCTTTCTTATCAGTGTAATTGTTTCTATTATTGTTTTAGCAACAATAAAAATTCATGTTCCCAAATGAAATGGTTTTATTGGAAAAAACCCCTAACTGCATGTGAAGCAGGTTTCAAAATTGAAAGTGGGGGACTGATTGTGAAGTATCACTATGTGCTCACAGATGCAGTTATGATGGACTGATTAAAAGTACTTGTAAAGAGAAAAATTTCACATATCCAACAGAAGTTCCACAGAGAGAAATTAAAACTAGTATTTCAAATTTTCCACTACTATTTCCCTCTTAAGAATTTTAAAGAATGTATTTATTTTTGGTTCATTATACCTAGGTTTAATAGAATGAGAATTGTGAACTGAATTTATTACAAGTATGAAGCTCATAGCTCATAGATTTTAAGAAATGTGGTAAGACATTTTTCAAATCATCTGCTTCCCCACTGAATTACAGTTCTTATGTACTTTCCAATGGAAAGCTTATCTTCTGATATTTGGACCATAAACCTGTAATTGGATTTGCTAGTGTAGATTCTTGCTCTCATGCAGAGCTCTACTGAAATTTGACTTCACGAGGATTCAACTCATTACATCTAATTACAGGACTGGGTGTACCACAGTTTTTAATTTTCACAAAAACTCTTGTAGCTTGTACAGCGATATTCTACAAAAATCTAATAAGTTTCTCTTCATTTACATTTCAGGTCATTAAATGTAAAGAACTACAAGACTGCACAGCTGACAACTTATTAGGTACAAAAGGTGGAATGAAGGTTATACTTTTTAGACTCTGTAAAATGTTAACAAAGAAAATAAAAATGTGAAAAGAGGAATTCAAGTATATAGGGCAATCCAGTCTGTTTAATTATTGCGAATGCAATCTTTTGTTTCTAAATATAAAGCTAAAATAAATAATTTAAGACCATTAAGTCCAAGGTTGTGTTTTTATATATATTTTCATCTGATGTAGTATAGCTGATGAAGACTGCTGTGAGGTTTTTGTTTATGTCCTTCTGTCTCTTCTCTTTTTGCAATGCTTCCTCTTGTATTTTCTTCTGTATTTCAATGATCTTTTCATTCACTAACAAGGTGGAAATACTGAAAGCTGATTAAAATGTATGGAGCTTAATTAAAAAAAAACAATCGATCCAGCTTGTTTGAGACGATGTTAGTGTATGTGGACTAGCCTCGTGTGGTCATCATGGGATCCAATAGCTTCACCTGGTAAGTCCCCACCAGAAAATGTGTGGTCTGAAGGAGCTGACACCCAGTTCTAGCTAGGGCCTTAGTATGCTGGTTTAATATAAATGATAATTGTGTCCCTTGGCTTCTTGGCAGTACCTTTGACTGTGATGGTGGAATTTAGAACTTTCTTAAATTCTGTTACCCAGTTATGTGAGGTAAGGAGGACATTAAACATTACTTACATTGTTCTCATAATAACAGCTTCCCTACATCCTTACAGTATAGATAGAGCCAGTCAGCTTTATAACTGATTCTGACCACAATTTAATAGTTACAATCTGAAGCAGCTTCATGTTTACGCAAGTGTGAAGTGCAATTAAACACCTAACCATCTCAATATCCCAAGTATTTACCATTTTAATGTCTTCGGGTGTGCAATGCAAAATTGTGGCATAATAGTTTTGGCTATCTCCGGTAAAAAAAAAACCAACAGACCCTTTTGTATCTTTTAAACATTTTTTACAGGAAAAAGCATTAAGAACTAGAATTAGATCTTTAATGTAGTTTTTAGTCATTCTAGTATATGTATCAGTCATGATACAAAACTATGCTCTATTACATTTACAGTCTTGTATTACAAACCAGATAAATAATTGTTAATTTGCTGCAATCAGTCTTTATGAATTATTGGAGAAATAGGAAGAAATGGATTACTTTTATGTCTCTGAAGAGATCATGCCCTTTATTGGCCAGGAGCTTGTACACCTAGTGAAGATAAATAATTACCTCTAAGTCTGTTCTGGAAACATCAATAACTAATTACATGGTTTTACTTTCATGATTTATTAAGGAGTGAGTAAAAAAAGGAAGTTCCTAAAAAAGAAATAGTCCTAATAGCGTTGTAGAGACACTGCATACAGGCAGCTTCAACTTCACAGAATATTACATGCAGTATTTTTGAGAAAGTCTTCCTCCCCATGGTCCCTTGGCTGAGAAAATTGGGAGTATTTTTGCAGCGATTATATCCAAGAGGATAATTTTTGCGTCTTTCATAGCTATGACCCTGTTCTCTGAATATGTTTATGCTGAAAATGTTAAAATACATGTTTTAACTAAGAAGCTTTCTAAGACAGTATCTAGTATAAAGAGATAAAGGGTACCTTGTGTTGATTAAACATAGACCAGAATTCGATGTCATCTAATCTATTTAGATTAAACTTAATTTAGGACTTGCAGAAAAAAACCAGTGAAACATTGTGGCATGTACTAAGCTGTTCAGCTAAAAGGTTGTTAAGATTCCCTTCCGACTCTGAAATCCTAGGGACAGCATTCCATCTCCTGTAAACTGTCACAGTTTCATTAAAGTTCTTTATACTACTTACACTGTGTAAGGATCTGCTTTTGTCAATCTGTGAAATTCAGCCAAGCATCAAAAAAACAGGCAGGTCTTTTTAGAACATAACAAAAACATGGAAATGACTGGACATCAGAATTGTAAATATTTTACAAAAGAAAACAGTTTATTACAATTTATTTGAAACAATAGACTGTTGTAGGTTATCAGGAATTGCCTGGAAAAGAAAATCAGCTAATAAGATATTGCAGAATAAAGCTCATACCTAGTGAATCATATTCCAAGGCTTTATACTTAGAATGGAAATTTCTGTAGAAATTCTAGTGGAATATTCAGAGTAACAGTTATATTGCATGGTACAAGTACACGGTACCTGGTAATCAGGTTTCCTTTGCCCACAGCCTAGAGCTGTAGCTTGGTGTCAGAGATAAATATAATCCATAATGCAAATGGCTGAATTCAACCTGTAACAAATCTCTCATTTTCAGTAGCTCACAGGAGATTTTCTAATAGTAAACATTCTTTGGTCAATATTCTAATGTCACTTTCATATTTGGAAAAGTCTTGTCTATACTCCTGCAGTTCTTTCTTCAGTAACTGATTTTCCTCTGTGACGTTTGTTACTGCTGTTGATAACCTCTTGCATTCTTCATTTGCACTGGTCAAGTTAGACTTTAAAAGATCAATATCTGCTTTCACATTTCTGTGTTCAGTCATGAGTTTGTTTTCTGTACAAGCTTTATCTAGTTGGATTTTTTCAAAGTCCTTCTGCAGCATCTATTTAGTATCGGAACACTCCTGCAGGCTCATTTCAAGGTTAAGTTTTTTGACTTACAGTGTTTGCATTAACTGAAGATGAGTTTCCAGTTCAGATTTCACTGTCATTTTCTTTTGTTTGTTGCATTTCACTTGATTTATTTCAAACTCTTGGTCTAGGGAACTGTTTTCTTTTGTAAGCTGGGCTAGTTCTATCTTAAGTTTTTTATTTGTTTCTTGTAACTCAAAGCATTCGTTTTGCAAGAACTTCAGGATTACACTGATTGCACTCTCTCTTTCACAGGTAACAGCAGTCATCTTTTCTTCTACTTTCTGCTTCCTAATTTGAAAATCATGCTGTGTCTGTACTGAATGTTGGTTTCCATTATGGAGTTGATTCTTCTCTTCCTCCATGATGTTTTCCTGGTTTTGGAGTTCCTTACATTTTCTTAGGAATTTCTTTGCTTCCTTAATACATTCCTTGTTATCTTCTTGTGATTTAACCAACTGGATTTGCACACTTTTCTTTTCTTCAGCTAAATCCTTAGTTTGCATATGACATTTTGATACTTTTTCTTTCAAAGAGCGTATGGTAACAGTAAGCACTTTGTTCTTGAGAGCTAAATTTTCATGTGGAAGATCATGCACTGTTTCTTGCAAATGATCAGAATTTTCCAGGGACTTTTGCAATACTTCTGTTTTGCCATCATATTCAGAGGCTACTTTGATTTTGCTGAACTTCTGATTTCCTGGCCTCAGTAACGTTTGATTGAAAGTAGTTTGTTGTTTTTCTTTTTTTAGTTGCTCTTTGTTATCAAGCATTAGTAGCTTATCTTTCACCACCTCAGAAAAAGAACTAACCTGGAATGTGTCACCATCGCTGTAATTGATTCTAAATTCTTTATGTACATTTTTGCTTTGAGATTCCGCTTTTTCACTGTATACTGTTGTAGGAGAACCACCCCCTACACTGGCACAGTTGGAGTCTTTACAAAATTCTTGTTCAAAATGTAGGCCATTTTCTTTACCTGGAACTAAACTTTCTTTTAAGTTATTTAATTTTTCTCTGGATAAAAAGACGGATTTTTCTGTATTATCTGCTAACAAATCCAAATCATTACAGTCTGACTTCTGAAATTCTTGTTCCAGCAACTTGGTAGTATAGTTAGTATTGTCTGTTTTATGAAATTCTTTCCCAAATTTGGGACTCAAAATGATCTTCTTATGGGCAGCATTCAACCTTTCTGTCTCCAAAAGAGTGCCAGATAGCAGATGTCCACATTTATGTTCATTTTTCATTGCAAGTATCCTGTTGTTTCCAAACAGATCTTCTGAATTTTCAACTTTTTCAGTTGCTATAATTTTCAGTGAAATACTGTGTGGAATGTTTATATCACTGACGACATTTCCAGTATTGGAATTTGCTTCCACATGCTCATCTGAACAGGGTTGTTGATCATGATGAACTTCACTCTTAGAAGGCAGCGATTCAGAATTTTCCATAAGCTACCCCAGAAAATTAAAAACAAAGGTACAAAAAACTGTCATGCTGTAAAATTGTGAAACATTGCAGTACTGGAAGCATAAGACAACTAAATTGTTATCAAAGCCACTTATCAACCAAGACTTGTACAGTTTACCTCTGCTAATGCCATTTACTCATTAAAATAACATAAACAATTATCGTAGGCCCCATTTCATTCAGTACTGGGCTTTGGAGCAGGCACAAAATACCAAGTAAGTGTCTTAAATTGATTATTTCCAGCAGAGGAGAGATGACTTAAGGAGACTATAGTTTGCCTTGATTGTTTTTGTCATTCCAGTCCCTATGAAATAAGGGCAAAAGTAGGGTTTATGCAGCATTTCATAGGAAAGGAACAAAACTTATTCCCAGTCCTCATTTCTCTCTCTTTTCTCCTTGACTCTCTGCCCTGTCTCCCTATATGCTTTGTATTGCATTCCATGCCCACTGAAGATAATCCAAATTAATTTGGGGAAGATCAGGTTACAGTTTTACCTGTGCAGAAGAGAAACTGAGTTTTAATCATAATGGGTGGGAGGGAATAGTATATGTAATTATGGCCAAAGTTCTGCTACCCACAAAAATCTCAGGAAGAAGATACTGGTTTTTGGTTTTTGTTTGGGTTTTTTTTTTTTTTTTAAATCCAGAATACCCCTTGGGTTATTTTCCAAAAAACACATCACTCTCCAAACCCAAGGTCCAGCTAAAGAATAACTTGTTTGTAGGTAAAAATTCTTAAACATACCAGAGATGCATCACTTGATGTGCAAGTCATCAGAATCTTGTCTGAACTACATAGTGGAGTTTTTATTTCAAATATATTTTTATTTAGTATCTCACGGATTTTAGACTGTACCTGGAAAAGAATGAGGCTGTTTACAGAAAACTTAAATGTAGAAATATTTCATTTTCCAAAAATATCCTATCGCTCAAGACGTTCTCTCTTAGGAAGGACAGACCAGATGCAAGTGGCCTCTAGGAATATGGAATCGTTTATAACTGACAAAGTGTAAAGCTAAATGTCCTTCCAGCATCAGATACTTAGCTTTTATATAAAAGAACCAGATAAAATGATGGCAGAAAAATGCTCCTGAAAAGGTGGCTTAGCATTTTGTGAAACATGGCGGTTTGCAACAATGGAACAGGCTCTGCTGACAGTGACATAATGTGGAATTAACTTCTCTGAAAACAACAGAGCTTCCTCCAGTTTAGAGTGATAAATGAGAGAAGGATCTAGTCCTTCCCCCTTTTTTCCCCTCAGTTTTGTTTTTCTGTTTTTCTGAGGTCTTTAAATAGTTTTCACAAGCCCCCAAATAATACTGTGACTAAGAAAGAGCAAGAACCTAGAAGTGAGATTATCTTATCAGCTATTTTAAGATGGACAGATGACTAAATGTATACTTAATCTACACAATAATCTAAGACTAGATCTTATTTAAAACACCTATGGCAGTATCTAAAAATGTACCAGGAGCCTTTTCTATTTTAAGAGCATTTGTGTTCTGCTTTTACCGTGTTAATATTCTCCAGAGTCTGTTGCCGAAATGTCTGAAATGATTCCAGCTGTTGCTGAAGAATCTAAAATACATAAAATAAATATCAGAAAATTGGTTGGTAGGGGTTTTTTTTTGTTGTTGTTTTTGGTTTTAAATATTGAGATGAGTTAGGATATTTTCTCAGTGGGAATGATGTTTGTTTTCCAGTCCCAAGATTGTTTTCACCCAGCCTGAGTCAACGGGAGTTCATCAAATGCTTCTTTCACCATTCAGCAGCCATTTAGAATCTTATTTGCGGTATTAGAGGGATTTCAGCACAGTTCTTTACAGACAGTTGCTCACGTTACAGAAAGCACTGTCATATCTGGCATTACTTCGGATCTTAGTCTTTGCAGCGAGACCAAATGTGCTTCTGGTACAATTCATACTCCAGTTCCAAAGATCATCTTTCTGGTTTAGACTGTGGTGTACTGGTTGGACAACGTAAGACCATTGGACTGTTTCTGGGATTAGTAAAGGGAAACCCTAGTATTCTGCATTAACAGAAGTAATGTTGGCTATGCTCTAATGACTTAGAAGTGCTTTAAAATAAATAGTGCAAATTCTGTACATAGATCAAAGGATTCTTCTCTGAATGGATCATTCTTAGGTGACAACAATTCAGAAGCTCAGTGAAAATCTCAGCTAAAGGAATGAGCACGAGCATAGAGCAAAATTTGTCTAGCTTTCCGTGTCTTCCGCTTTGGAAGAAAATTCCCCAAAACACAGATGAGGAAGAAAAGAGGCAGGCAGACAAGTGCTGTACATTATATACCCGAGTTATGCAACTATACTGACAGTAAAACCAAAGCCCAAACATACTTTGCTAGTCATTATTCAAGTGGAAATTGTAGTTTGCAAGTTATGCTGTCAATTCCAGAATACTTCAGTAAGTCTGATTTCTTGCGGAAAAACATCAGTAAAGAGTGACAGCTCCTATTATACGGTCCGAGCCCCGCATACAGTTAGAAGTATACTGAAACAATCAATCCGTCACTGTATTTAAATTCATATTAAGCACTCCACATTTGTTGAGCAATGTAAAAGTGACTAGCTTTAAATTAGAGAAGTCTGTGAATACTGAGAATTAACACTTCACCAGAGCAGCTCCTGAAATAAGGCACCTGTAATGCGTAGCTAGCCTGAGCTGCGGGTGCTGCTCTGGTGAAGCCTGGTGCAGGCCAGTTTGTCAGTGGTGTTTTGGCACTAGGCACATCCATACACGTAAATAATACACCATATGGAAATTCTGCTGGCTAAGACTCTTCATGCCCAGCCATCCTGCTCAAGTCTGCAGGCCGAATCAAGTCAGCTTACTTCCATTGTTGACTGCAGGTCAGGCGGGTCTTCTGCTCCTATGGTGTGGTTATCTGCAAATAAAAATGACACTTCCACAAGTTAGCAGCTTGAAGTTCACAGGAAGAGCGATTTCAGATCTAATAAGGGAAAACTGAGCGAATTCAGCCCAAGGCAGGACGTGTTTGCCTATTTCTCCTGCTCTGGATGGCCTGAGCCCTGCTGCGCGGTTCCTGGCACAGGCCAGGCTCATCTACAGGAGGATCAGTGCCTGGCAAGTCTCTGAGGAAGCCGCCCAGGCTCCCG